TGCAATAACTGCGCAGAATTCTACATCGGTGAAACAGGAAGAAAATTGGAAACCAGATTGACAGAACACAATAAAATAACCGTCCCATGTTTTTCCCCATTGGAACTCAAAAAACATAGTATATCACTTTAAACAAAGAACCCAACACAAACAAACGAAAAATCAAGGAATCCATCTTAATTGAACAAAACAACCCTATTCTAAACCAACACCCCGGGGCGCCTAGATACCTCTTGTAAGTTACGCAACAGTTCCGGTCATGTGACTTCTTTGTTCAATACTGTATATATATATATATCCGTGTCAGTGTAAATTACTTGTACCTAATGATGACAAAACCTTGTCGAAACGTTGTACATTTGCTGTTATGTTAAACTTATATTAAAGTTTTTCTTCATTACCCATTCAAACCGTCTCCAGCCATTACTATACTATGTTGTTTTTTATGAGTGCCTGCTGCCCAATGATCTTTTAACTTTTTCTAGCCTAAGATAATATGGTTCTGTGCATATTAACACAATACTGTAGTTCTCTTGGAAGAGAGTACTTTAGTACCAAGAAAGGGAAAATTGATTCTAGCATTCACCTTCTGCTTTCTCAATGAACCAGCTCTTCATATATTTCATTCAGACTTACAACGTTCTTAGTCTTCATTGTTTCTTCGCTTACAACTTTAATGACTCTACTGATCTCAACATTGGAATTTTTAAAGCGATTTTCATAGATTCAAAAAAAAGGAAAATAGCATGACTCTACGAAACTTCGTTCGTAGCATATATATATGCCCACTGCAGGAGCGATGTCATGAACTATTGTCTGTAATTAGTATTTATATTTTTATTATTAAAATACCTTACAAAACGTACTCGGTAGTAAGTTTAAAATATAAAATGAAGCAGAAATATCAGACGTATATGAAATATTCTTAATGTTATTACACAGTTTTTCAACTACAACACTAAATTCCATTCTCAATGTCGAAAAAACGAAGATAGTTTTGTTGAATTGAATATTCGTTTTCAATAATGAAGCAACAAAAATAGATTTGTATACATCAACGTATACATCTGGCTGAATGGAAAATGTCTAAACTAGAATTAACAACGAACTCATTACCATATTTTCTTGAAACCAAAATACATGTAAACTGTGATTACAGTTGTCAATATTGATTTCATAATTTTATATAAACCTATAAGCTACACAGGATCAGACAAAACAAAATGTTCTTTTAAATATTTTGATAAAGATACTAAATTTTCAAATTGTGACAGGTCCATATCTAACTTTGTTCCTCTTTTATTTGTCGGATTTAGAATAACTTAAAATATGGATTAGTTCGCTATCGTTCCTATTGAAAATAAGAATTCCGCTACATTTATCTTGTTTTCTTAGAGCTGTATTTATATTCTTATCGAGAGATATAGGGACAATTAATGCATTATATGATTATAAAAATCAAATGTATTAAACGACCACACATCCATCTTAGTTGTGATTCACGTAGTGTAAAACACAGACTTTGAATCGATTTTGGTAAAGGTTGAAAGAAGTGTCAAAATGTATCTTATTATAGCTGACTAAATAACGTGGCGTTAAAAATGAGGTTTACAATATAATACATGGTACAATATTAGCATTTTTAATACGTGCAAAATAAGTTACTTTATTTTAGCTTTGAAAGATGAAATTTCTATTAGGTAGTTGTCTTGCTTAGGTGTATCAGTTTTTAAATTTCAAAGTTAAACAATTCCTCGTCTGCTGAAACCTACTAAACAAAGGTTTTCACAATAAACACTTATATTTTTAGTGTTGTTTTCCACATGCTCACATTCTGCCCCACCACAGGAATCGAACCCATATTTTGACGTTGTAAGCTTTCAAACGTACCTCCGAGCTTTCAGAGGCAAAATTTCTATTACAAATTAAAATGTTTAGAAATCTGAATTTAACACTTCACAGTACTTCTAACACTATATCTTTTTAAAAGTTTTCGACTCATTCATACTAGCAGAAACTATACACTGTATATCGTTTAACTGAAGAAACTAACAACGTCATCTGTGCTTCTTTTCACTTTGTAAGATGACAGCTTTAATAGGCTGCAGCAAGTCGCCTTCCACGTTTTCAAAGTTAAATAATTCCTCATCTGCTGAAATCTCACTAACCATTCACAGTTTCTCACTGTTAACTATATCTTTATTACAATACCATCCACAGTTTCTCACTGTTAACTATATCTTTATTACAATACCATAGTTAACAGTGAGAAACTGTGGTGATAAAGATATAGAAACTGTGGGTGGTATTGTTGGTATTGTGATAAAGATATAGTTAACAGTGATCCACAGTTTCTCACTGTTAACTATACCTTTATCACAATACCATAAACACTTTCTCACTGTTAACTATATCTTTATCACAATACCATCCACAGTTTCTCACTTTTACCTATATCTTTATCACAGTACCATAAATACTTTCTCACTGTTAACTATATCTTTATCACAATACCATCCACAGTTTCTCACTGTTAACTATATCTTTATCACAATACCATTCACAGCTTTCTCACTGTTAACTATATCTTTATCACAATACCATTAACACTATCTCACTGTTAACTATATCTTTATCACAATACCATAAACACTTTCTCACTGTTAACTATATCTTTATCACAATACCATCTACAGTTTCTCACCGTTAACTATATCTTTATTGCAATTTTTCACATACTCAGATTCTTTCACTAACTTAAAGTCCATCACAAATTTATTATGTAATTTGTTTTTCTTACTTTTCTGACTCTCAATTCCTGAACTCAGCTCCAGACAGACCATGCCTACTATCCGATATCTTGCGATTAAAACACTTTACACAGACTAATTAAAGT